GTACCTGGTACCTAAAGTGGCACTAACGTATGTGCACATGTATGACTGTGGAAGTCATATAAGACTGAATAGTTTTTCTGGGCCAGTAGTGATAACATAAATGGTTTATAGTTCTCTGTATGGCATGTTTATACTGTACATGGGTATAACAAATAGGAACAATATATACAACATTATTTATATAAAGAATTACAAATAAGATATGAAAACATTTCAAAATAATGTTGAGATGAAATCTTGAAACTGCAACACATAATGTAATAAAACATGATTGTCAGGTTGTAAAATTACTGGTATTTCCCATAAGTATTTGACAAGGAGCACTAGGCTTTTTTGAAGGAAGTATTACATCTAATGATGATTATAAAACCAGTAGCTCATGTGAGAGAATGCTGTTACATTTAAATCAGGTGATGCTAAAACCTTACACTATAAGTCTTTTGTTTTTAAGTGACAGAATAAAAAAAAAAAACCCAAACATGTTATACTTACCTGCTCTGTGCAATGGTTTTGCACAGAGCAGTCCCTATCCTCTTTTTCTGGGGCAACTGGTTCCTGGCTCGTCCCCCCCGTTTGAGTGCCCCAATAGCAAGAAGCTTCCTATGGGGGCACCCATGCAGGCTCAGTCCCGAGCCAGGCTCTGTTTGTCCATTGACTTCTATTGACTTCCATTGATTTACTAACACATGTACCTAGTGAACACCATTTGGAGACAGCACATGGAAATTGACATGCTTGCCATTTTACATATGATTGCTTGTTAATACTTGTTAATTAACTTGTAATACTTGTTAGCATTGTTTATTTATCTTAAAGTGACATTTGCAAATGTATATCTCTTTACCAAATTAGAGGAAAGCATGCTAGATAGTGCCTGCTGACCTAGGGGAAGAGGTATTGAAAATTAATGGGCATGCAAGTTGGGTAGCTCTGAGGAAGAGGGGTTGCCCTTGAAATGCGTAACCCAGCACATTGCTGAACAGGTTAACAGTTGAACATCTAAATATCCAGTGGGCAGGACATGTCACTCCTTTAATGGATTTTAGCTTACATGTGCTTTGCCAAGTACATTTGTGAGTATAATTCATTATTTTATATTAATTAAATATAATACATGATTCTGGTGCACTCTGTATTTAGTCTTTAGTGATGTGCAGGGACTTCCCAGTCTGGAGAGATCTGCAAGGCAATGGATATAATTGATCATTTCTATGGGAACAATTGAACATAAATGGCAATATTAACAGAAAGCATATTAACATCCTTTTCCCACTTGAGTGCTAACTGTTTTCATCAATTAATTATTTGGCAATAAAAACCTTCCCCTATGCTACTAAAAAAACATGTTCTATGTATGTGTGAGTTACTGTTGGAGAGTTTTTCCTACTTTCTGCAGGACAGGAAGTGAGGTGAAATTGCTTTAACGATGCCCTGCATAGAACTAAAACTTGACAGAGGTTCTAAAACTTCCCCACTCTATAAAAAAAAAAAAAAGTTCTAACTTAACATACACCATAAGTATTTTTGCTCTGTAGCATGTATAAAAGTCAGTTATAAGTAAACATGGATACGTTACTGTTAACCTAAACACATTTGATGACAGCTATTGGACATTATTTATCAGAATGGTAAAAAAGACAATAATATGCAGTAACCCATCAATCAAATTCCAGGTTCCTTCAATTTAGAGTAGAAAAAAACAAAGATGATTTCTTATTGATTGGTGTGGATCAGTATCCTCTGCATGTTGCTTACCGTAGCCATTTAACTGAATAAACACAATCTTGTTAATTATTGAAATTATGGATTTTATTTATGCAAATTGCAAGTCTAGAACACTTTATTCTCCTCTGAGCAAGAAAGATGCTTGCCTTCATTAGCAAAGCCAACCTGTACAGTGTTATATGTAAAAGTGAAATAAAAACAAATAAAATTACATAAATTTAAATAAATACAAGTCTGAATTTCCATATTAGTGGCTTCCACCAAGTGCATAAAGTGGCAGGTAAGAAAGTGATCCTCTTCCTAGGTTAAATGTAGTCTGAATCTAAACCAACACATGTGTTTCACCAACCACTCCAAGGCTTACCATAGAGACTGTGACCCTCATGTGAGAAGCCAAAAACAGCATCTGTATATCAATCCAAAAGCAATCACCAACAGATTTGGTATCTTCCTATCACATCATCTCCAATGTAGGTGGATAGGACCGATCAATCATATGTACAAAAATGTATAAAAAAAAGAAATGCTCCAAAAGTGTAAATCCCATATGAATTAAATATTAAAATGGTTAAAAACACTCACATGCAAGCCATGTATACAAGCGTCTCAAACAAACTATACATCCCAGAATTCCTCCAAATGAGCACATGCATGCACATTGTCGTGATGACCTCCGGCTCAACCCACTTTTTTAATTTGTTTGATATAGTGAATCTTATATATGGTGCTGGCACTTTTTTTTTTTTTTTTTACAGATAAGACACTTCTAGTACAGCATTCTTTTATATATAAATGCTTACCTTTATTGACTATTAGTATTTAATCTTTTCACAAGTACTTCAATAATGTTATTTACTGTACATCACTATTCTACCTCTGTTATTTTAGTTCTCTCATGATAAGAGTTTGCTGAGTCAATAGAAATGACATTTTGTCATTATGACTATTTGTTGTAACATTAATTTTCTGCATCATGATTACATTAACATAATGTTATAGAAAATTATGCAATGATGAATTTGTCTACTACTTTTTTTTTACTTGTACAGTTCGTCTAAGAAGGTTTGCCAAATGTTCTGAATGCAGGTCACTAAAGACACGTGTTTCTTGTTTTATATATTTATGTACGGAATGGGCAATAAATACCTGAGATAAGCATAAAATTAGATTTATGGGAGCAAGTCAAACTTTTTTAGGCACTTGCATTCCTTACCACATACAGTTATGCTGAGTGAACTGACGTGTTTGCGTCACTCTTCTTTAGTTTGGATCAGTTGTTATGACTTTTTCCATTTATCTACACTTTGATATTGCTAGGCAGGTCAATATCATGATGAGCTTTGTAAATATTCACATTTCCCTTATTGCCTAGGGACCTGTCCACATTTAGTTAAACTTGACTACAGAAAACTCAAGTGGATTAACGTATACATAAATAAAATCTCCTATACACCTTAATGTAATTTCACTAGTAATTTTCAAGATTTTTAAAGCTCTGGCTTTTATTGAAGTAATAACTCAAGATTCTGCAATGAAGGTCCTCTTTCAGGTGCTTCCTTTATAGAGTGCCCCAATTGTGCTACTGTGTCATCTCCCTGTCAAATAGGCTTCCAATTAAGAGTTTCCAGTGACCATTTCAAAAGGGTCATGGTCTATCATTTTCACCATAGAAAGCCTACCCTTTGAAATGCCATACAGTCATTGCTGGAGTGCATGCATGTGAAGTATTTTTTTTAAAATTGCAATAGTTTATACTACACAGTACATTAACAAACTAATGTTTACTTCTACTTTCCATGTCAAAGCCATGATAAATGTTAATTCAGAACAGAAAATAGCCTAATAACATTAATTTTTAGCTCCATCCACACAAAGCGAATGTAAATGCACTTTAACTGAGTTTCAGGGTCTGGATCTGAACATGCAATCTCAGCAATGTCTGGCTGTACTCTTCTCACTGTGCCAACTGTGATGCTGGTCAGCTCCCTGTCTGATTCCTTGGACAATCTTGCCTTGTACCTTGTTTCTGATGAACCCTAAACTCTTTGCTCCTCCAGCAAACTACCTGGTTCAAGCCATTTCTTTGCATTGCCTGTTTGCCAGATTGGGTTCTCTACAGCTGATATCTTGCTCCTTTCACTACTGCTGTTTTCCAGCTTTTACCTTGACTACGCCTTTGCTTGATCCTAACCTGCGACCATTTATTATTGATCTATGGCTTGCTCTTCAAGTACACCTCTGCTGAATCCCAACCTGCAACCACTTGTTGCTGACCTTTGGCTTGTTTACTGATTACACTTCTGCTTGATCCCTACCTGCTATATCTGTTACTGGACCTTGGCTTGCTCAGGGTGGATCTTGGGGACCATGACCTGGCACTAGCACACAGGAAAACCCATTTAAACCAACAGGAGCTCTGGTGAAGACTGTTTAGTGTTTAAACCTTGGATGAGTTTGTGTCATCCAACAGGGTGACCTGCTTGTGTACTTATCTGCTGGTCGGGGGTAGCCGCTCTACTGATTTTTACTGGCCTCCAATCCTGACCCTTGACTGAGACACTGAGTGCGGTTTTTCTTAAATACCCCTATAAGTGTAAGCTACCAAATATTACAAAGTTTATCAGAGTCATGCTTCCTCCCTTTGCTTTTTGAGGGAATCTTTCCTTCAATTAGTATAGAATGTTTTCTTGGTTCTTCACCAATAACACCATTCACATCACAGGCCAGAGAGAAACTTCCCTCATTCCTACAGCCTGTCACTTATTGCCTCCAGATTGTATTGTATCTGCCATGAATTCCCTTGTTTACCATTGCTGCAGAAATATACAGAAATAAACAAATCCTTGTGATTGCTGACTGTCCACCAACAACACAGCTACAATACACTTTTGCTTCATCACTACAATCTGCACTACCTCTACCACACTGTTAAATCACTTAGAAAGTAGGATATCACACTATATGCTCCATATTCGTTGCCTGGTAGTAGCTTTCCTGACAACTTACTTTATTAAGAGTACATATTTATAGCAGCTCCAAGAAATAAAGGTAGGAAGCAATTTACCGAATTTATTAACTTTGTTTGAACAATACTCTAACTTCATACAAATGCAAGCATATGAAGACATCTAAAATACATTTCTAGTTTGCAGAAGTTCCATTTTATATTGTTAGAGGATCTTTTTGGTTTTCGGAAAAGTAGATGGGGTTTGTTTTGTATTCTTTTTTCTTGCTTGCTCTATAATGTTGAACTAATATTCTTTGTATCTATCTAGGGAGAAGAAGGAAAGCCAGGTCTACCAGGAATGGAAGGTCACAGAGGATTGCCCGTAAACATTTATTTTAAAATTATTTAATCTATTTTTTTGCCTTTCTAGTATATTCACTTTTTTAATTCGTATCTCCATTTATAATACATAGGGCATTATAATATTTTAAGAAAAAATAGTCATATTTATTATGCACTTATTAGAGGTTAAAATAATTTCTGCATACTATGTACAAATATGGCGAGCAGGAAGTCAGACATCCTCCCTTTGCAGTTTGTAAGGAAGAGAATTTGCACATCACACAATGGCTCCTGGAGCAAAAATACAATATATTTTCTGCCGATTCTTGTTTTTACAAGTTGGCAGCACGTGTGAAAGAGGTTGCTCAGTATATAATATATTGGCAATAAAAAAAAGTGATGGGTAAGAATACCTGCAATAATCATTCAATGTAGCATGCTCTTTTATTACATATATTTATGTTTCCTTTCATTTGTATTTTTTCACAGTATCTGCTAAGCTGTTAGCCTGCCTTTCTTATCTGCTGTGGCAATATCACCAACATTTGCTGTAGCATTTTTTGCTCCAATCTACTCTCTTTCATACATTTGCTGTAATACCTTTTCTCTGCTAATCTTGGAACCCGTAGAATTTGTTAACTTGCCAAGGAACCAGTTAGTTTGAACTCACTCATGCTCAGGCTATTCAGGTCCACTTGGAAATAATTCTTTATTTAAAGTGTGTACTTAGGCCTCTTTAGGGATACCCAGGTGCTCGCTCTTGGATGATGATCGCAAGTGCATCCATAATCTTACTGTTAGTTCCTTACTCTTGGATGATGATCGCAAGTGCATCCATAATCTTACTGTTAGTTCCTTACTCTTGGATGATGATATAGCAAGTGCATCCATAATCTTACTGTTAGTTCCTCACTCTTGGATGATGATAGCAAGTGCATCCATAATCTTACTGTTAGTTGTTCACTCTTGGATGATGATAGCAAGTGCATCCATAATCTTACTGTTAGTTGCTCACTCTTGGATGATGATAGCAAGTGCATCCATAATCTTACTGTTAGTTCCTTACTCTTGGATGATGATAGCAAGTGCATCCATAATCTTACTGTTAGTTGTTCACTCTTGGATGATGATCGCAAGTGCATCCATAATCTTACTGTTAGTTGCTCACTCTTGGATGATGATAGCAAGTGCATCCATAATCTTACTGTTAGTTGCTCACTCTTGGATGATGATAGCAAGTGCATCCATAATCTTACTGTTAGTTCCTCACTCTTGGATGATGATCGCAAGTGCATCCATAATCTTACAGTTAGTTCCTTACTCTTGGATGATGATAGCAAGTGCATCCATAATCTTACTGTTAGTTGCTCACTCTTGGATGAAGATAGCAAGTGCATCCATAATCTTACTGTTAGTTGCTCGCTCTTGGATGATGATAGCAAGTGCATCCATAATCTTACTGTTAGTTCCTTACTCTTGGATGATGATAGCAAGTGCATCCATAATCTTACTGTTAGTTCCTCACTCTTGGATGATGATCGCAAGTGCATCCATAATCTTACTGTTAGTTCCTTACTCTTGGATAATGATCGCAAGTGCATCCATAATCTTACTGTTAGTTGCTCACTCTTGGATGAAGATAGCAAGTGCAACCATAATCTTACTGTTAGTTCCTCACTCTTGGATGATGATCGCAAGTGCATCAATAATCTTACTGTTAGTTCCTTACTCTTGGATAATGATCGCAAGTGCATCCATAATCTTACTGTTAGTTGCTCACTCTTGGATGAAGATAGCAAGTGCAACCATAATCTTACTGTTAGTTCCTCACTCTTGGATGATGATCGCAAGTGCATCCATAATCTTACTGTTAGTTCCTTACTCTTGGATGATGATAGCAAGTGCATCCATAATCTTACTGTTAGTTGTTCACTCTTGGATGATGATAGCAAGTGCATCCATAATCTTACTGTTAGTTGCTCACTCTGGATGATGATAGCAAGTGCATCCATAATCTTACTGTTAGTTCCTTACTCTTGGATGATGATAGCAAGTGCATCCATAATCTTACTGTTAGTTGTTCACTCTTGGATGATGATCGCAAGTGCATCCATAATCTTACTGTTAGTTGCTCACTCTTGGATGATGATAGCAAGTGCATCCATAATCTTACTGTTAGTTGCTCACTCTTGGATGATGATAGCAAGTGCATCCATAATCTTACTGTTAGTTCCTCACTCTTGGATGATGATGATCGCAAGTGCATCCATAATCTTACAGTTAGTTCCTTACTCTTGGATGATGATAGCAAGTGCATCCATAATCTTACTGTTAGTTGCTCACTCTTGGATGAAGATAGCAAGTGCATCCATAATCTTACTGTTAGTTGCTCGCTCTTGGATGATGATAGCAAGTGCATCCATAATAATCTTACTGTTAGTTCCTTACTCTTGGATGATGATAGCAAGTGCATCCATAATCTTACTGTTAGTTCCTCACTCTTGGATGATGATAGCAAGTGCATCCATAATCTTACTGTTAGTTCCTCACTCTTGGATGATGATGATCGCAAGTGCATCCATAATCTTACTGTTAGTTCCTTACTCTTGGATAATGATCGCAAGTGCATCCATAATCTTACTGTTAGTTGCTCACTCTTGGATGAAGATAGCAAGTGCAACCATAATCTTACTGTTAGTTCCTCACTCTTGGATGATGATCGCAAGTGCATCAATAATCTTACTGTTAGTTCCTTACTCTTGGATAATGATCGCAAGTGCATCCATAATCTTACTGTTAGTTGCTCACTCTTGGATGAAGATAGCAAGTGCAACCATAATCTTACTGTTAGTTCCTCACTCTTGGATGATGATCGCAAGTGCATCCATAATCTTACTGTTAGTTCCTTACTCTTGGATGATGATAGCAAGTGCATCCATAATCTTACTGTTAGTTGCTCACTCTTGGATGATGATAGTAAGTGCATCCATAATCTTACTGTTAGTTGCTCGCTCTTGGATGATGATAGCAAGTGCATCCATAATCTTACTGTTAGTTCCTCACTCTTGGATGATGATAGCAAGTGCATCCATAATCTTACTGTTAGTTGCTCGCTCTTGGATGATGATAGCAAGTGCATCCATAATCTTACTGTTAGTTGCTCGCTCTTGGATGATGATAGCAAGTGCATCCATAATCTTACTGTTAGTTCCTCACTCTTGGATGATGATAGCAAGTGCATCAATAATCTTACTGTTAGTTGCTCGCTCTTGGATGAAGATAGCAAGTGCATCCATAATCTTACTGTTAGTTGCTCGCTCTTGGATAATGATAGCAAGTGCATCCATAATCTTACTGATAGTTGCTCGCTCTTGGATGATGATAGCAAGTGCATCCATAATCTTACTGTTAGTTGCTCGCTCTTGGATGATGATAGCAAGTGCATCCATAATCTTACTGATAGTTGCTCGCTCTTGGATGATGATAGCAAGTGCATCCATAATCTTACTGATAGTTGCTTGCTCTTGGATGATGATAGCAAGTGCATCCATAATCTTACTGTTAGTTCCTCACTCTTGGATGATGATAGCAAGTGCATCCATAATCTTACTGTTAGATGAACATTTCCTTAATATTTGAAACACGTGAAGGGGTCCATGATACCACAAAAAAACAAAAAGCCATAAATTGGAAATTCCAATCAGCTGTATGTTGCTGGGATTTGTAGTAAAATTGATTTCTATCATTGGAGATAATGCGTGACTATTTTGTAGGGCTTGAGCCAGCTCCTCCTATCTCCTAGTTCACTCTACATCATAAATGTGTTCCAGCCCTTGCACTTCCTAATGCTGTGTGCGTGTTTGTGCACAAGAACCAGATCTTCAAATGGTAAAAATACATTTGGCTGTCTGCTTGACGCTAGCAGGTGGCTCCAATGCTATGCCACTAGTAAATGGAGTACGTTCTGCTTTCTGACAATCACATACATTTGCATAAATACAGGAGATTTTCCATGTTCTACCCCAGGCACATAAATTATATTTGATAATATAATAATATGTGTATGCCATGAACAAATCTAATTTTGAACCTACTCCCTTTCAGGGAATACCTGGAATTCCTGGAAATGATGGTTCAAGTGGAACAAAGGTACATCATACAACTTTCTTTTTTTTTATTTCACTTTTTTAAGAAATCAAACTTATTAAATGAGATCTTCTGAAATGATTATGTGTTAACCTTTTAGGGTGAATTAGGATCTCAAGGAGAACCTGGTACAAGAGGACCTCCTGGAAGTTCAGTAGGTTTTGCAACAATGCCATGCACATGTTTAAAATATGTATATCCACAAAATGTATCAGCGAGATTGTTTTAGTAAATGTTTAAAAAATACTGGCAATAGATTGATAAATGTGGCAAACTTTTCACATAGCATTCTTTGAGGCCCCACTTGCTATCAATCATCAGGCACAGTCCAAACCACTGGCAACAATTAATATTGGCAGAAGCAAACAAGAAAGTCTGTCAAATAAGTTGCTGGCATCTAAAACGGAGAATTTGATTGACAGATTTGAAAGCAAATGAGCTATACTTGCAGTGATTCCTACATAGTTTCAATTACAAACACACACACACACATATATATATATATGTATATGTATAGTGATGCCGTTGTCACTACTTCTGTCAGCTTTGTAACAGAAGGAAAGCTCCCCCATCCCTACAGTAAACCACTGCACTCAGCGCAGTCACCCCTCCTGCACACCCCTTCTTCCAGGCAAGCCGGCAGCTGCAGAACTCAGAGTAGGCAAAATACAATTATGTCTCCACTTCTAGCAGCAGAGCGGAAAAACTACATTTGCATATTTCTAGCACCTAAAGTATGTTTGTGTTGGGGTGCAATATATATATATATATATATATGGTCATCATTGAAATTTAAGATTAAGCACTCCCTAAGACATGGTTTATATCAATGAGTCACTTGTGAGACTGATTCACTTGCGAGTGTAAATTACAGCTTCATCTATAGAACCTATTTTCGTTAACCGCTTCCCCGCTGCCCTATAGCAGAAACATATATATATGTATACATACGTGATTTTGCAGTTTCGGGTAGGGGAGCGTGCACGCCTCATTTGCGCCCTACCCACGCCACCATTCGCAGCCTCAGCTGTCAATCATAGGGTTCCTGCTGGTGATTTCTCAGCAGAACCCGGTGATTGCCGATTATCTCCGATGGGGGAGAGACCCATGTATAAACAACACAAATTTCTCCCCTGTCAGCTCCTGCATAGCAGAGCAATACAAAGCAGTGTGCTTACAGTGAAACACAGCACACAGCCTCATAGTAAAACAGCACACAGTTAACCCTTTGATCACCCCACATGTTAACCCCTTCCTGCCCAGTGCCATTAGTACAATGTCAGTGCTTTTCATTAGTACTGATCACTGTATTGGTGTCACTGGGGATGTCAGTGACACCAAGTCTTCAAGTCATTAATTAATTTATGTGACCCGAAGTCCCACTATAAGTCGCTGATTGCCACCATTACTAGTTAAAAAAATAAATTCCAGTATATATACCGCCATTTGTAAATGCTATACCTGTCACATAAATTAATTAATTTACACATAGTGGGATTTTTTTTTAGCAAAGACATATAGCAGAATACATTTTGGCCTAAATTTATGATGAAATTTGATTTTAAATTTTTTTTTTTACTGGACATGTTTAACCATTTGCCGCCTGCCCTATGGCCGAACGGCGGGCGGCAAATGTCATCAGCGTTCCGGGTGGACGCCATATGGCATCCTCCCGCACATGCGCAGATTGAGCTCCTGCAGAGCGGCGCAGCGGCGCGATCTGTCACTGGCCGTGTACCTTGGACACGGCCGATGACAGATTTGAGTATCGGCCCCGTTGCCGGTACCATGTGACCTGCTGTGACCAATCACAGCAGGTCACATGACAGTTGTATACAATGGATGGCTTCATTCATGCCATCCATTGTATACTACTGCCTAGCTGTGAATGGTCACAGCTAATCACATGCACATGTCATGTGATTAGCTGTGGCCAAATCACAGCTAAGCACAAAAAAAAAAAACAAAAAACAAAACTCTGGATGAATCGATGTCATTCAGGTAAATGCTTGCTTATAGCAAAGTAATTCTTTGCTATAAGCAAATTGTGTAAAAAAAAAAAAAACATATACTGATCACTTCCCCAAAGTAGTACAATGTTACTATGGTAACATTGTACTACTTTGGACATAGTGAAATATGAAGACAAAAATCTTAAAAAAAATAAAAAAAATGTAATAAAAAATAAAAAATAATAAAAAAAAAAAAAAAATATATATATATAATTTTTTTTTTTCATACTGTCACCAGTCAGTGTCCCTGATCACCGCCATGCCAGTTATATGATGATGCTGTACTGCACTGGTGACAGTATGTAAAAAACAAATAGTGAAACTAATTTTTTTAATTTTTTAATTTTCCGAAAAATTATGACAAAAAAAATACCACTTCAAAAAACTCGCCATGCCTCTTATGAAGTACGGAGGACTGTCTACTTTGCAAAAAGGGGTCATTTGGGCTTTATCTGTATTGTTCTGACATTCTTGGACCTCAGGAAATTAGATTGGCCGTCAGTACTTCAGGATTGATCAATATTCAGATCTATACCATAATTTGTGAACTCTATAACTTTCCTACAAGCTAAAAAATACATCCTAATTTGGGTTATTTTCACCAAAGACATGTAGCAGAATACATCTCGGCCTAAATTTATGAAGAACAATTATTTATTTGCAAACTTTTATAACAGAAACAAAGAAAAACTTTTTTTTTTCAAAATGTTTGGTCTTTTTTTGTTAATTTATCAAAAAAAAAAACCCCAGTGGTGATTAAATACCACCAAAAGAAAGCTCTAGTTGTGTGAAGAAAATGATAAAATTTAGTTTGGGTACAGTGTTGTATCACCGCGCAATTGTCATTCAAAATGTGAGAGCGCTGAAATCTGAAAACTGGCCTGGGCAGTAAGGTGTAAAATTGCCCGGGATTGAATTGGTTAATAGCAAAAAGTCAAAAATATTTTTTTATCAAAATTTGTTGGTCTTTTTTTTTTTATAGCACAAAAAATAAAAAATACCACCAAAAGAAAGCTCTATTTGTGGGGAAATTATACATCAATTTAATTTGGGTGAAGTAAATTGTGAGTTAAAGTAAACTAACGCTGTATCACAAAAAATGGCCTGGTCAGGAACGGGGGTAAATGCTCTGGAGGGCAAGTGGTTAACAGATTGTAGGGCAGAAGCAAAGACACCTGTGTATTATAAAAAAAGTCTATAGCACCTCCTGGTGTTATATCATATTTAACTGTATGTGAAGGTTCTCATTTTCCAGGTCATGGTATAGTACTAAGAACTCAGTAATTCAGATAGACTTGTAATTTTGAAGACATTTCAGCGTTCATTCAGTTGGCTTTCTTAGTTCTCACAAGTGTCAGCAACATACCCAACCATACATTTATAGCTACATGTGTGACTGCATCACTTTGATCCATTCAGCATGGTGTCATGTAATGTGCCATGGCAGACAGTGGTTGCTCAAGAACACCTCAATTTGCATGAAATTTTGTGAAACCAATTTGTTCTTTTTCTATAAACCATGAACATCAGGACAGGTGGCAAATGTCTAGTGTTCATGGTTAAAAGTGTGAACTGTTGTGAAATCACCCAGGGTAGAAATGTTAAAAATTCTATAAGTAGGGAGCCAGTCATCAAAATAGCGAAAGAATGCAGAATCACCATGATATCCCAATGGAGGCCATGGTAATATGGGGTGATTTGTGTGCCAAAATATCATGCTCCTGAAAATGACATATTTATTTCATCACTAAAAGATCTGTTAAAAGTTGTTGTCATCAATAATAGTTACAGAGCCAAAATGTGCAATGAACAATGTGCAAGGTAGAACGTATGGATCGGCGCATTTCACCCAGAGGAGAGTGCTTCTTCAGGATCCATTTTGTTGTTCGTTCATTATGACAGTATAGCTATAAATATAGATGACCAAGATAAAGAAACAAATATATATTGGATGATTAACCACCACAATATAGGAGTATGAGGAATGTGACCCCACTACACCAGTTATAATAGGATCGACTAGCAACAATTCCCTATATAGACACAGTAATGGGTTACAGAAAAATAATGTGTGGATCAAAATGAGATATAGCCTGCCGTATGGAAGATGAAATAAAACACGTGGGGGTCTACACCCACTCAATACAGACCAGCAGTAGCTAGTCCATAAGAACCAGCAGCAGAATATCACCCATACGCTGTTATTTTGAAGGATAGCACACAGTCCCACATCTCAGGAATGCCACAAAATGGCAGTAGCTACCACCATTATCCCATCTTCCATACAGTGGGCTACATTTCATTTGACCTATCACTGGTAAAAATTTTAAAACACCAGGGTGAAGTAGGTACGTGCTTGACATCTGAGGTTGAAGCTTAACCTCCAATGTCCACATCATCACATCATGGACTTACTCCTAGCAGTTTGTGCATTGTTCCCTCAGTGAAAAGTCATAGAGATATTAGGATTTTAAAGAGGATTCAAGAACAACTGCTTAATAGTGTGTTGGACCAACCCACTTCAGAAATGATGCTCTGGGACAGAAAGTTGATGGTATTAAACTGTTACTAAACCCACAACAGTAAAATCAGTCTGTATATGCAGTAAAGCATGCTTGCTATACTCACTGTGGAAAATAAAGCCTTAATCCTCTGCATTGTGTAAAAAGGCTGTTTGATCCTTTCTTCTCTGTTCCTTCCCTTTTTCAAGCGACTACCACTTATCTCCAGACTGAACCGTAGGCATGCACATGCTCAGTTTGGCGTGTATTGCTAGAGATATTTTTGTTTCTTGGGAGAGTGCATGTAATCAGCAAAGGGCCAATCAGCACTGAGGTCAGAGGATCTGTATCCACCTAGAGCAGAAAGAAAACTCCTCTCACAAGCTTTAGCTAGTGCTATGTTGGACACAGATAGAAGTCACAAGACTGCTCTAACTGCTGATGAGAAAAGGTATTTAGCAGTTTATATTTATTAAAATAATTGCACTTCCATGTTCTGTGTACTGTGGGAGACCAGATATAGTGGGTTTAGTAACACTTGAAACAGAGTTTAGCAACACAACTACCTGCTGAGCTAGAAAGCATGGTCATTATTACAGCATACTCAACTAGCCCATAGAAAGCAAGCTCAATTAGCCCAGTAC